TCTAAAATTGAATTTCAAAAAAGTTTTCATTAGCAATGTTTCTAACTGGCCAGTTCTAAATATTTTCAGTACTACCCACGTATTATGGTACTGGGTTTGTTGCTTTAACATACAATTGTTTCGTATTCAAGCTCAAAAAGCTTACCTGTACAGGATGTACAAGCATTTTCATTGGTGGTATGGAAATAAAATCTTTGCAAATCAAATTAATATCTATCTTATCTGCGAATCCAAAATGGCGGGTCAAGTTGCTCGTCCGTTAACAGTTATTTTGTCTAACAAGATTGTGAAATTTACATAATTAAAGAAAAAGTTTAGGTAAGACAAGGTTAGACTTAAACCTAGTCATAAATAAAAAATAATATCTACGTTCTTTAGGAGGACAATATGAAACGGTTATAAAGAAAGTATAAAAGGTAAAAGGCATCGGTATGAGACAGCCGGTGTCCGTACCACATGCAGGCTTTGTATCGGCCTACACTGATTCATTCAACACCCGCTATTGTGTGTTTTATAAGACATAAGTAGGCTATATTTTTCTTATAGTATACCACTTAATAACAGGTTTAAAGTTATAATAAAAAACTTTATTTTATGTGAACCTTTTTTTCGTATACTCTAACATCCTGAATCCATTAATTTAATAATTCAATAACTTAGCGATTAAAAAGGGTAGCGTAGAGTTTCTAGCCAGTTCTTCTTGCCCGCTCTACTTCTTACTTCTACTTTGCTCTCGAATTTAGAATTAATTTAACATCTTTTCTGACGTTCATAATTGTACTTGTTTACCTATATGAATAAAGTTGTTTTGACTTTGACTTTGAATGGAATTTGTTTTTTTTTTCACTTGTTTCTGTATTCAAATATTGTTATTCAGAACAGGTACATGGAAGAGCAATCCAGGACAAAGGTGCAATCAGCCTTACGCCACAGGGTGCTAGCGACAAGTGCCATTACTCCCATAAGTCTTTGGTCATTATATGGAAATCGTGTAACGAGCACGCAGGCACGTGCCAACCCTATCAGGTAGGATTCTAATGATAAAGGGGCGCAGTACTAAGGTATTCAAAGGCACAACTCTGGGTTCATTAAAAAGATATTTAAGTACTCTGATATTTACTAAAACTTTGTGGAAAATATCCAATGGAAATAAAATTAATTAAAATTTGGTATGACAAATCTTACCTATTATTATTCATATTTCATGTGGAAAATAGTAATGATTTAAAATCACTGAATCACATACAGGACTTCGTTTCAAAAAACTAAGCTAGTCCAACAAAAACGCAAAGTAAATCTGTAACCATGCCAAAACTTTTCCTTTTTTCGTTGTTTAATGCTCAACAAAAACCTTACTCTACAAACTTTATATCGAAACAGCTTAAATCAAGTTAGCACAGTTTAAATCAAAGCTACAAACTCTATCAGAAACAAGCAGGAGTTAGCGAGATATATTAAAGTGCTTACATCCGAAAATCAAGAGGAATTTACATAGTAATTGCAGATGCAAATGAAGATAGCTAGAAATGCTGAGTCCGAAAGGCTAGAAATGGTGGCGAGAGCCGCATACGGTGCAGCTCTGACAAATAGCTTCGATTGTCTCCTAATATGTTATACCAGTATTGCGAGTTTGAGTTATACGAATTTATATAATATTTTTAAATTTGGAAGGCACAGACTAAAATTATCAATGGAGAGTATGTCGACCTAGAGTTATACAACTAAAATAATATTTTTAAATTTGGAACGCACAGACTAATATTATCAATGGAGAGTATGTAGACCTCGAGTTATACAACTAAAATAATATTTTTAAATTTGGAAGGCACAGACTACAATCATCCATTGAGACTTCCCGCGTTTACTGACGAAGCATTTAAAACATTTTTAAAATTAAGTATTTTTACTAAAATAACGAATGTAAATTATATCATAGTTACACTTGTATTAAATGAAGGTGTTATTGATAAATAGAAGACTTTCGATATATTAAATAATTAAATTCCGTGCTGTGTTATCATTCTGGTGAAGTCCGCGATTCTCCAACCTCTCGTACTCTTACAAGAATAGGTTTTCTTACTGCGCCTAACACACGCTAGTAAGCTGAAGAAAGATATTGAAGTTATAGACTATAGATAAGGGCCCATAATGAAAAATTATGAATAAAATGGATGTACAAGATTGTGTACCTACTACATATGCATTATTGAACTGGACGATTTTTATCACCACCATCTCTTGATGTTGTTTTTTTATTAAAACTAATTTAAAAAATATTGTAATAGGTAATATGCTCTAAAATTCGTGGTCCGTTTTTAAAAACTTTGTCGTACGTATGTTATATTAGTTGTATAATTATCATTATAATATGTTACTAGGTATAATTAAGAAACATTATATTTATTCTTTTAATCACCAAAACGTTTTCGGAAAATAAAATTTAATTACACCGCAACGAGCGTAAGTCGGTCACAGAGGCTTCGAAATTAATTCAGGCATTTTTCCAAAATGTTGACATGACAAAATTAAAAAATAATTCTAAACAGCGCCGTTTAGGGACGTTATTAAATATTTTTATAACCGAGTAGCGTAACTTTTGATAGAAAAAGTTGCTTCTCGGCCGTAAATACAATTATGTTGATATTTTTACCCGATTTGCTTCGAACTTTTTAAATTTTTCCGCTCCTTGCTCAGGTGACCCTGTTATTAATGAAAAACTCAATTAAATAGACGCTTCCTTATAGAATTATAGAATAGCAATTCAATGTTTATTCAAAGATGTTCTTTTGCGTCAAATTAAGCAAAACAATGTAAGTTAAAATAAAATTTCCTTTAACATTAAGAATATAAGGCGATGATGGTACGCCATCCGTGCTCCACCACGCTTCAATCTAATATAATGGGTAAATTATATTTAGAAAGTAACTCGCGAATTGTCTCCAAGTCACTTTACATGATCAATCTGTGATTGAAAACATTATCAGTAGATATAAAATTGAAACTGGAGATTTTTGTACACCTTAGACAAAATCATGTGAATCGACGCTAAAACCAATCTCAAACTACGGGCATTTTTAGAAAAACTACAAAAAGCAGAGTGGCGTAGTGGAAGCGTGCTGGGCCCATAACCCAGAGGTCCGTGGATCGAAACCACGCTCTGCTAGAAGAGTAGTTTTGCGACTACTCCAGTTTGGACATTTTTGTTTGTGACTGTGCTTTTAATGTTACGCATTATAAATAATTAAGACCGAGGGCTATTTTCTAAAAAACTTGTATATTTAGATACAAAACAATAAACGATATGAATATTCTGAAAGCATTGTGGTAAATACTGAAGATTCTCCTGAAGCTGCAACAACAACAGATTGTGAATCGTTAATAGATTTACAGCCGTTGGACGGGGTCGGAATGGAAGAATTTAACTTACTCATATTAACATTTATCTTTCTAACAAAAATAAACGTAGGTAAGTGAGTAGTGTGTACGCATCCGTTGACCTTTATTTACCTTATTAAACAAATTATACTAACAATATTTTGTCTTTAAGACTAGTATGTCCTAAGTAGTTTTGCACTTCTTGCACTGAGACCTTATTAAATTTATTTTTCATTAAATGGTTGCCTGGAAGTAATCGCTCAAAAGCGATAACGCCGTACTTTAATTGTTATTATTTTTACAAATTTTTGTATGAAATGATGAAATAAATACTTAATTAGACCATTGCGACATTGCAACGAGCTGCATGTGGCCGTGGCAAGAGCGGGCAAGATTGTCTAATCTCAATCTCCTGTTTTAGTCCAAGACTCGCTTTTAGTCCTTACCGCGTTACTTACATAGCAAAGCCGTAACGCCAACTTAGCCTAAATACGGACTTTTATGAAACAAAACTAAACCTATTTACTGAATGCCTCGCAAATGAAAGCAATTTCCTTATTTCTACTAAATCGATTATTTAGAATGTTCCTATTCGAATAAAGCTGCTCCAGTTACACCTTTATTGCAAACCGTATAAAGAACAAATTTCAATGACCGGGAAGAATGGAAGAGGACCTGTGTATTTGTTTTTAAGGTTGTATTATTATTTCCATTTTTAGTGAACGGTTTCTATGCAATGAACGAGAGCAAGGTGAACATTTACGTTAATAATTTTTTGTATTTTCTCATTAAACACCAATATATTCATATTTTAAGCCTCTATTAAAAGTATCTAAGCATATCATTACTTTGAAAATAAATAAACAGATCTAGAAGTGTTATATTCTAATGATAAGTTTTTTTTTTCGTTTTCAAGTACATGGACCAAAACTATATGTTTGTTAAATGATAAATAAGATATGTTTTTTACGAGATTATTAATTATTTACGTGCATTATTTTTTCCCTACGTTAATTAATTTCATTACAGTATTCTAATTAATTTCATTACAGTATTCTTATAAATTACAACAAAAGAAAATTGATACGTGATATTTTTTAATATTTATTAAATAAAGAGACACCGAAAGTGGAAGAGGGTTCATTGCCAAGCTAGACTGGCATGCTCAAAGTAAAAGGAACCGTGGCTAAGACAGACCTGGCAGCAACGCATAATTGTTGCAGCATTAGTGAAGTTAAAAGAGTTGTCCAATGCCGATCTGGTTGGTGTTCTACGCTGGATGCCTTCTGTCCCACCTGGGGGATAGGACCTTAAGTCAATTTAGTCAAGTATAAGACTGAGTCTACACAATATCATAAATATCCGAATTCCTTCCAAATCAAGCTCACCCTAATCAAACGAGATATCCACAAAGGCTCAAAGCTAGTCTAGATACATGTATTTAGCGGCGGAATTAAAAATTCCAACGTCGGCATTCTAAAATCCCTTTTATTATTTACGTTGGTATTCAATCAAATAAAATTCTTTTTTAATATAATTTATACAAATAAGTCATGTATGAACATAAGAATATTTCTCCTTTGATGTCTTCGTTGTTAATAACCTCTTCTCAGTCGTATTCTTCACTAGGCGCGTCCACACAGAGCGAGCAGCGTCGCTGCTCGGTTAGTGTGGACGTGCCCGGCCGAGGCAAGCGTGCGCGCTGCCGCGAGCGAGCGTCCGAGGGCCCGAGCCATCGAGTGTCGGCTTTTTGATTTGCTCAAAGGCGCCTCACTCGTTTGTCGCGCGCACACTGGAGGTTCGGACTTACCGCGCGCGGCCGCGTCGCGATAAGTTTCCTCGCGAGGCTGCTCGCTCTGTGTGGACCCGCCTATTGCTGAAGGTCGCGTCACTGTACGGTGCCTTCCGCCCTGCAAGCGGTATCTCTCCCCTTCGTTCGCTCTATAGCTTAACTTAGCGCAGCTGTTATTGGGAGACCTGTGAGAATCGTGACATAGTAACACCAGCTGGTTGGTGATCTGCCCCACGGCCATTGCCTTCCACCGTGCCGACGACAACCAGCTTGTCCAGGTTATCTGGTTAACGACGGACGATTGATCAAAGTAAAATGTTGATAACAAAAGCGGTAGAAAAATATACAGGGGAAACCTTGTACTTGGTAAGGCATACCACAACTGATCACTGAAGTCAAAATATACAATTTATAAGGGCTAGTGAAGGATCAGGACCAGATTAGTAAAAAAAAATGGACAAATCAGAAATACCCAAGCGCATGAGATTAAGGTAGGAGTGTAATGGAAGAAGTGTTAATCAAATATTCTAGACTAATTTGATAGTGCGGACGACAGGGGAGGGCGACAAAGTTGCAAAAAAAACCGTCATCTCGACATTTTCGAGCTTGGCTAATTTTTTTACTATTGAGGGAAACAGTTCAAGAATAATGAACATAATTAGTATCATAACGATTTCGCAAGCCGAAATAAAAAATTTCCGTCGTTAGTGTTAAATTGTTACGTTTTAGATGTCCTACTTATTGTCTTCAAGCCTTATCGGAATCTACGTTAAACGGCGTTCTAAATAATTTCCTCAAAATGAAATTTCCTGTGTAATTTGTTTCGTTAACGATACGACAGATACATTTTGAGAACAATTAAAATTCGTTAAAAATATATTATTTTTTAAAGTGGTTTATTACTATTAACTAAATACTATTCCGAATCCTTTAATGTAGTATGTTAACTTCGTTTAACTAAGCTGGTCAAAAGCGGTTGATTCGTACGACAGATATTTTAGTCATCCAAAGAAACCCGAAAAAGTGTTTATTCGGGATTACTCCGAAATTTGTGGTTCGATCAATTAAAATTACTTATGAGGATGATAAAACTGCGTCGAATGCCGCCAACCGCGTGAAAATTGCTTGATCCATTCAAAAGTTATTGCGGTTTGAAAATTCCAAAAATAGTGTTCTATGAAACTTCTATCAGACTTTCGAGCTGGGAGAGCTCAAATGCATAGAAATGTTATTTCTTTGAACTCAGCGAGCTCAAAATATCAATTTTAAGCGCCCAGGAATGGAATTAGCGGGAAGTTGCAGGGATGGCCCTTTAGGTGAACCGTTTTTCTAAATTTTTTTTGTCAGATCAGGCGAATCCCTCTAGATAATCGTCAGATTATGAGACAGTACGTTTAGAACATAAAGATGAACCACATATATTTTAATCTGACGCGCTTGAGTATTTCAAAATTGCGATTTTTTTTTGCAAATTACGAAAATGGCTGTGGGTTTGCGTCCCATCGAAATCGTCAGATTAGTGAATGAGAACTTTTTTTGGTGCACTTAACACTCCCTTAGAAAATCTGACGCGCTCGATAAATTAATTTTTTTTTTTTCATTTTCAACCCTTAAATACAACCACCCGCATCATGCAAACGATCAGATTAACATACGTACATTATTAAAAATACGTAGGGCATAGATGCTATCAATATCTGACGCGCTCGAGGATGTCCATGCAACAGTTTTTTTTACATATTTAACTATCTATAGCCGCTTCCCCCACCGATGAAAAGGAATTTATCATATAACATTTTTTTCTTCTTATTATCTAAGCTTTGCATCCCAATAGGTCTCTACGACGCCTCGAGTAAATCCCCATTTAGCATCGTGGGCTCCCCATACCATTTACGACGGACGAAATGATCAAAGTAAAATGTTGATAACAAAAACGTAGAAAAATATTTGTGCTTGGAAGGCATACCAAACTGATCACTGAAGTAAAATATACAATCTTATAGGGGTTATTGAATATCATGACCACTAAGCAAGGTAAGATGGGCTAAAACTTGGAGTACGCCAAGCGATCTACTTAATAAAATTGTTAATGGAAGAAGAATCAAATTTCTACGCGTAAGCCTGATATGCCTGTCGACAGGAGGCGACATTGCATAGATTGATGTACATTTTAATTATCAGTTGTTACCTATAGTGGCACAACAGTTAAATTATTATCATACTTAGTTTCAATAATATTTGTATGCCAATTGTAATACTTTCCTTACTTCGTGTTTTGTTACGTTTTAGATTTAAATACTTATTGTATTTAAGTCTTATTGTAAATCTACGTCAATAAATACGTTTTTAAATAAATTGTCTTAATGAAAGTTCTGTGTATATTTGTTTCTTAAATATGAATAAAATATATTTTATTAACAATTAATAATTCGGTAAAATATATTTCCATCGTTGGCTTTAAAAAGTATATTACTATTATGAAATTATTATTACGAATACTATTAATGTAGTATGATATTAGTTTAATTTTCAATTGCCGTCCTGTTGTTAGACGACAATATTTTAATCATCCATTGTCCTAGTTGCTAAACAATGGGCAGTGTTGGCCTAGTGGCTTCAGCGTGCGACACATCCCTGAGGTAGGTTTGATACCCGGCTGTGCACGAATGGACTTTCTTTCTACGTGCGCATTTAACATTCACTAGAACGGTAAAGGAAAACATCGTGAGGAATTTAATTCTATTGGAAAGGTTTATTTCTATTGTTAGTTCCTGCACTTCACTTTCTACCTTCCTTTCTTCACGCGAAATCCTTGAGCTTCCTGAACCATTATTTAGGTACTGCCCTCGTTCCTCGTACCTGTAACTCCTCTTCTTTAATCTCTTATCATCTTAATATGGTATTAACCCCTTCTTTTTTAAATCTGCGATTAAATACTGAATGTACACAATCACTGTATGTATTTCCAATGCAACGGACGCAGTAATGCACCAAATAGCTGCTGATAGAAATTCCATCCACGTTGCAGCGCCGAATGAAGTCGAGGTAAAATTTTACAATTAGGGCACACAAAGGAATAATACAGATACTAGTCCATGAATAGAAATTCAAGCGTCATTTTGTTGAATTCACGAGCTGTTTCGGAATTCCGAGTCGGAAATGGGGAAAAATACACGCCATTGCTGGAGATTGAAATGTTTTGTCGTTCATAATCTGTTGAGGCGAATGCAGAATATATGCTCTCCCGTTACAATCCTTAGGGAGGTTGTCGATGCGCTTTTTAGAAGCCTTTATATACCTTAAATCTTAATCACTCGTGTTAACACGCTGGCTAGAACGTAAATAATAAATTTATTTTTTATCTGCGTTAATTAAGTTCGAGAGAATAATAAATTATTGCATTCAACAATCATACTAAAAGAATAGACAGAAAACTAAAAAAAACAGACTTTTAAAAATTGCAAATATCATTCTAATACACAGTAAAAGAATTTTCCCTAGTAAAAGTATTTACACCCGAAACTGCATGAATAAATAAAAAAACGACAGTATAAATTTAAAATTTGAATAACAAAGGCCACAGATAACAATTACCGAGACTATTTTATTTCAGTTGAAGTTCACGTTCTGCTATTGAATAGTAAATAAGAAAACTTGTTAGTAAATAAAGGTACATTATCATCATACAACGTACGTAAAGAAATATTTTGATTATCTATCATTAAGTTTACGTTAACTGATAGCGACTATTTTATTTATAATTAAATACAATACTATAAATAATTAGAAAAATATAACTCGTATATAACATATACAATAGTGTGGTGAAAACATAAACTGGACACAGTTTATCAGTCCACCAGGTCGTCGAACAGATTTAAAACTTATACGTTATACTAAGACCAATGATATATCTATACTAATATAATAAAAATAAATATTTGTATGTATGTTTTCACTCAAAAACAACTGGACCGATTTCAAAAATTCTTTCACCATTAGAAAGCTGCATTACGCGAGTGAAACCGCGGGGCATTCTAGCAATAAAATTATGCTACAAGATAAAATTATAATTATTATATTGCGCATTTAAAATGGTTATTACTAAACCCATTCAAACATCGACGTTTAATAGGTAGCCGATGCAAGAAACTTAACTCTGGTGCCAACATTAAACTTAAAAAAACTACATAAATATTTTGCATTTCGATGTATGTGTTTTGTAAACATTATTTCACTTGATACTTAATATATAGTTGGAAATGGATTAAATGAAGAGTAGCAAACAAGAATTATATTAATTCGCATACATGTCTCACCTGCTCTCTTTCCGCACGATTTTAACTCATGTAAAAGTTAACAATTCGTCACTAATAACACGTTATTTAATTAGGTATTTATAAGACATTTCGGCAGGGCATTGGCATATTTCTCCTTTTCTAATCAGTACTAAGCAATTAATACCCACGTGATGTGCATATGGCATAAAAACAGCGAGAATACCTTATGCCCTGAATAGTTCATACGAATTCATTTGTTCATTAAATATTGCTGGGAACTTTAAAATTGCTTTAAGTCGACGGAAAGTTTTTCTTTGAGTTACGAGTTGGCAACTAATCTGCATGCGTAATGCTTGCGTCGGACTATTCGCGGCCTAACTTTAACTTGATTTAATTCAAATTCTACTTGTCTGACATTACTACAAAACTACTTAGTTTAAAGGTGACTTTTGACACTTTAAGGCCTCTGCCTCACCGGGACGCCATGGCCACGTCGCCAGCGACATTACCATGGCTACGACTGGCGTCTCTGCGTCGCCAGACAAAGTCGCCACATCGCGTCGCCAATGCATTCAGTTCTGTCTCGACTCAAAAATCAAAATCAAAAATAAATTTTAACTAAATGATCAATAAAATTACACTAAAATAATAATTATTATTTTATTTCATCATTTTAAATCAAATTTTAAAATCATTATTATGTAAAATATTAATAATTAGGAGAGCAGGAGCCTTACTAATAATTTCTTTCAGGATACCTAAGTAAAAAACCATAATTAAGAGACTATGAAAAAGCAAAAAAAGTGCTATAATGTGCTAATTTGCCAGGTAGCTGACGTCGCCAGTCGCCGCATGCGGAGCGGTCAACTCTGGCTACGCTGGCTACTTGGCGACGTCGCCAGTCGGTAGCCAAGTGAGTTAGCCGGCATACATCTTAATAATATGAACTAGTTGGCGACGT